CACTGCGCCAGGCCCAGTTATCTTCTTGAGAATTGAAGTGACTACAACCTAAAAGATCTGTTTCTACTTAATCATCTATGGGCTACAGAGTAATTTCAACATCCTTTAGGATGGCATTTAAAGCCTTTGGCAACATGGCCCCCACACCACCTCTGTCTCATCTCCTGCCTCTCCCCTGAACATATTCTATAAAATTTCCTCCCCACATCCCACTCAGAAGGGGGCCAGACTCTGTGGGAGAAGGTGGAATTCTCCCCAGAAGTCCACTGCAGGAAAGAGGAAGTTAGATAAGATGGGAGAGTGGAAGGGAGATGAGATAGGCAGAAGCTCAGAAGGATGGGACTCAGGTTCCTGCACAGAAAGCAGCAGAAGGTGGTTTAGTTTTATTTATTTATTCATTTTTTTGAGACAGAGTCTCACTCTGTCACCCAGGCTGAGTGCAGTAGCGCAGTCTAGGCTCACTGCAACCTCTGCCTCCTGGGTTCAAGTGATTCTTGTGCCTCAGCTTCCTGAGTAGCTGGGATTACAGATGCCCACCACCATGCCCAGCTAATTTTTGTATTTTTAGTAGAGACAGGGTTTTGCCATGTTGGCCAGGCTGGTCTCAAACTCCTGACCTCAGGTGGTCCACCTGCCTCAGTCTCCCAAAGTGCTGGGATTATAGGCGTGAGCCATTGTGCTCGGCCAAAAGGTGTTTTATATTGGGGCCTTTTCCACCAGAAATTTACTAATCATTTAAGTCAAACACGATACTGGGAGGCACTGGGGACTCTGAAATACAACCTTGTCCTAAAGAATGTATAATTCTGGGGCTGGATGTGGTGGCTCACGCCTGTAATCCTAGCACTTTGGGAGGCTGAGGCCGGTGGATCACAAGGTCAGGAGTTTAAGACCTGCTTGGCCAACATGGTGAAACCCCGTCTCTACTAAAAATACAAAAATTAGTCGGGCATGGTAGCGTGTGCCTGTAATCCCAGCTACTCAGGAGGCTGAGGCAGAGAATTGCTTGAACCTGGGAGGTGGAGGTTGCAGTGAGCCAAGATCACACCACTGCATTCCAGCCTGGGTGACAGAGGGAGACTCCATCTCAAAAAAAAAAAAAAAAAAAAAAGATGAAGAAGGTATAATTCTGGCAAATGTATAATTAGAATACATGACAAGAAGTATAACAGAGGTAGATGTAGCATAACAAGCTGTGGACTCACAGAGGAAGGAAGTTTATCTGGGGTGAGGAGTGCTTCATAGAAGAAGGTCTATTTGAAATGGGCTTTGGAGAATAAGTAGGCATTCCCATTCAGGGAGAAGGGAACAAAGAACACAGGTAGAGAGGTGAAAGCTTGTGCAGTGAATACTCTGGCTCAGCTCTCTGTCCTCTGCTCCCCTGACTCTTGCCACTGGAGGAGATGGGGGGAGCAGAGGAGTGGCAGAGGAGGTGGGGAGGAGAGGACAGAGATAGGTGAGAACTGAGCCATAGGCATGAGGCTGGGAGAAGTCCGGGGTGGCTTGGTGAGCAGGAGTGCTCCTTATGGATAGGAAATGCAAGGGAAGAAGAGGCCTAGGAAGGATGAATGGAGAGTTCAGTTTGGGACATTATATAAATTTCTGGCTGCAAATAACAGAACACCAGCTACTCAAAGTTTAAGTAAAGGGCTTACTTTCCCCCTGTAACAAGCAGTCTGGAAGTGAGACAGGAACTCAACAGTGTCACTGAAGGTCCAGTGCTTCCCCACCCCCTGCTGTCCTCAGGACCGTGGTCACAAGATGGCTGCTTCAGCCAGAGCGCTCCATTCTAGCTACAGGAGCCCCAGGAAGGAGGGTAGGGGGCCAGTGGTCCTCTCCTCCCATGGTGCTCTCCCTCTCTCTCTTTTTTTTTTTTTGAGACGAAGTCTTGCCCTGTTGCCCAGGCTGGAGTGCAGTGGCACGATCTCGGCTCACTGCAACCTCTTACTCTTGGGTTCAAGCGATTCTCCTGCCTCAGCCTCCTGAGTAGCTGGGATTACAGGTGCACACTACCACTCCCAGGTAATTTTTTTGTATTTTTAGTAGAGACGGAATTTCACCATGTTGGTCAGGCTGGTCTCAAACTCCTGATCTCGTGATCCGCCCACCTTGGCCTCCCAAAGTGCTGAGATTAAAGGTGTGAGCCACCGCACCAGCCGCCCCTCTCTCTTTTAAAAGCCTAGTCAAATGCAGGTGTGAGAAGGGAGAAAAGAGTAGAGCAAGCAGTTCAATCTGTAACTGACTGTGAACAAGTAAGATAACTCACTACCTTCTGACCAGCCCAAGGCTCTCTCTCATCTGGGAAGGAAATATTTTCTAGCAACTCCCCAGACAAGGAACAGAACTAGCTCATGTGTCCACATGTCCGTTGCTACACCCATATCTACGAAGGAGAAGGGAGTGCTCTGACCGGGGCTGGGGCAGGGACCTATCCACCCCTGAATCTGTTCTGCTTCCCAAAGACACTGGAGTTCTATCAGCCTAGAAGCAGGGATTACATGGCTTTTGGGTAAGCAGTGAATAGTGTCTGCTGCAGTCATGTTGCATTTGAGAAACCAGTGGAACTTCCAGAATGAGTCCCGGGGGCAGTTGGAGGTGAGGGTCTGGAGCTCAGGAAGGTGAGAAGCTCAGAACAATTGTTGCTTGTGAACTCTGAGGCTCACGGGAAGTGTTTCTCCTAGACTGCAATGCTTCAGGCAGGGGAGAAGAGCAAAGAGGACATAGGGCCAGGAATCCCTTCCTTGTGATTATGGCTGGGGAGAAATCCGTCCTTTCCAGCTCCTCAACTTTGGCATCCAGGGTGGGAAAGCTGGGTGAGGGACGGCAGGAGGACATTCACTCTTGGTACAGCGGATAAACCTCTTTTCCACCCCTGGCTAAAATCTTTCACTATAACACAGTATATAAGACCAGGAGTTAGATACTTTTATTTCAGAAGCATTAGTTTTATACAATTTTTTTCTCTTTTTCTTTTTTTTGAGATGGAGTCTCGCTCTGTCGCCCAGGCTCAAGTGCAGTGGTGTGATCTTGGCTCACTGCAAGCTCTGCCTCCCGGGTTCACACCATCCTCCTGCCTCAACCTCCCGAGTAGCTGGGACTGCAGGTGCCCACCAACACGCCCGGCTTTTTTTTTTTTTTTTTTGTATTTTTAGTAGAGTTGGGATTTCACCATGTTAGCCAGGATGGTCTCGATCTCCTGACCTCGTGATCCGCCCACCTTGGCCTCCCAAAGTGCTGGGACTACAGGCATGCACCACCACGCCCTGCTAATTTGTGTATGTTTGGTAGAGACATGGTCTTACCATGTTGGCCAGGCTGGTCTCAAACTCCTGTCTTAAGTGATGTGCCTGCGTTGGCCTCCCAAAGTGCTGGGATTACAGGCATGAACCACTGTGCTCTGACTTTTTTCCTAATTCCAGAAGGAATACATGATTCATGCAGAAAGCGTAGAGAAACACAAATGCAGAGAAAAAAAAAATCACCCATAGAAGTTAAGGCTCAGGAACATGCACATTTCTTGATTCTTTTCCCATGGCTCTGTAAGTTTTATGGTCAATATCTTTGAGAAGTTATAGTTTAATGCCCATGTTACAACCAACTTGGAATCCCTTACATTTGTGTAACATTTTATTACAGTCCAGTGTTTTCAGTTGTACATTTTATCACATACTATTTCCTCTTTATAGACTCCTACACATTGCGAGGTGGGCAAGGGCAGGAATTATATCCCCACTGACCAGGTGAAAAAACTAAGGCTCCAAAAGGTGATGGTATTCAGGACTCAGATGGGGGCCCAGGCACAGTGGCTTATGCCTGCAATCCCAGAACATTGGGAGGCTGATGTGGGCAAACTTGAGTTCAGGAATTCAAGACCAGCCTGGGTAATGTGGTGAAACCCCATCTCTCTCTCTTGTTTTTTCCTTGGAGACTGAGTCGCACTCTCACTCTCAGTGTGCATTTCCCCTTGCATGGTTCCCTCACAGGCAGACGGGGGCAAGCCCAGGAAGTAGAGGCTACAGTGAACCGAGATGGCACCACTGCACTCCAGCCTGGGCAACAGAGCGAGACCCTCTCTCAAAAAAAAAAAAAAAA